ATTATTCACAGCGCACCAGAAGCTGTTTTGATTCCGAACCACCTGTTATTTTGAGTAATGAGTAAAGTGCCTGTTTTCGAGGAGGGGGAAGCGGCCTCTCGTGAACCGAGGACACCGACATGACTGCCGCCTGCTTCCCGCGCGCTGAAACCAAAGTCTCATTAAATTCTCTCCATCAAGCATTTATACACTTCATCTCAGCTCCACAAAGGGAACATTATATGAAAGGAATGCTAATAATGATCCGCTCGATCACATTGTGTAATGTGATATGATAATGTGGAAGTTGTTTTGTCATTTTGCCTTTATTGGTTTACTAAGTTATGAGTTGTTGTGAGAGCGTTTTGATTATCGTTGCTGTCATCATGTCTCATAACCTAATTGTGCTCGTCAGCCTGCTGTTATTTGGTTTGGCTCACTCAGCTCAAGTGCCTTGGAAAGGATTGCATGGATGGTGTACATTCATGGCACTTTAACCGTATTAGAAGCAATATTGTTTTGTTTTTCCTTTCTCTTTTTTTCAACTCCCACAAGTTATTTATTTCCAGCGAACTGCAGTTGTTGTACTTTCTCAGCTGTCTTATCCCTCTGGCACTTCTTAATGAGCACTAATAACCTTTGGGTGGGCATTAAGCTCCTGATATTGTTTTGTAACTCTCACTTGATTTTGTTTTTTCCTCATTTCTGACTTCTCAGACACATTTTGGCATGCTTTTGTCTTCAGGGGCACCTTGTTAATACTTTGGCTTCTCCGTGTTGGACTTTAATATGCAACACAGTGAGGAAAAACTAATAAAAACATATTTTATCTAGTCTGTTTTGTGTGTCGTTCTTTTCATTTCCCGGTATTTGAGAATCAGTTTGTTTTGCGTAATTCCAACCAATACATTAATAAGCTGAAGTGCTGGAGCTCTTTTATATGAGATGCTATCAAAAGCATCACTAATGAGCACACTCGTTACATAAAAATGTAAAAATGCCAGTTTATTTCTGAGCTGGCCTCATACACAGACCTCCTGTTTGACGCATAGTTAATATCTTTCATTTTTCTCATTCCTGTTACAAAGAAAGAGCCCTCTTTTTTTTCTTTTTTTACTCTAGCTCAGTTTTGATCATTAACATAGTTATAAACAGACAGCTTACAGAAGCAGTCTCTCGTGTTTACAATGAAGTTACAGAAAAACAGTTTTGTGTATATTTCCTAGTCAATTAACGAGTCCTGGAACAAGAATTATTGGAGTGGTTCAAGCTCAGTTTAATTTTGTGTAAATGCTTTCGCATGCAACAAAAATGCAGCTGCAGTAACTGAATGCAGTAAAATATATGGGCTTGGAGTCAATCTTGATACCTTTGAACCCTGAGTGCTGTGAAAAAAGGTATTTGCCCCTCCCTACTTTCTGTCTCTCTTTTTTGCATGTTTGTCACATGTTTTTTAATTTTAATATAAGACAAAGATAACCAGAGTAAATACAAAATAAAGCTTTTACATGATAATTTCATTTATTTAAGAAATAAAAGCTATTGAAAGCTAGTGAAAACTAATCGGCTTCCCTTGTGAAAGCATGAATTAAACAGAAACTAAGTGAAGTAGGCTGAAAGATCTCAAAAAGCAACAGCGGAGAAACAAAGTCAGTGACTTCTATCAGTCTGGAAAGGGTTATGAAGCCGTTTCTAACAGTTTGGGACTCCAGTGAACCACAGTGAGAGCCGTTATCCACACATGGAGAAAATCTGGAACAGAGGTGAACCTACTCGTAGAGCGCATCGACGACTCATCCAGGTCACAAGAATAACCCAGAACAACATCTAAAGAGCTACAGGCCTCACTTGCTTCAGTTAAGGTCAGAGTTCATGATTCAACAATAAGAAAGAGGCAGAAATGGCGTCCATGGGACAGTTCCAAGGTTAAAACCACTGCTGACTGGTCAAAGTCTAGATTTAAATGCAACACTCATTGCCAGTTATTACAGACTCAAAAAATACCTGTAATAAATACAAATATCTCCACTTATAAATACAAATATAGCCAAATTTCTTGATGCAATATTATGCTGACTTTTCAGTAAAGGTGTAAAAATGACCCCCCGCCCCCGTGCACTTTAAGACTGGCTGTGATCAGATCCAGCTCAGATTAGATCTGGGTGAGGTTTCTACTTTCTAATTTCCTGAGAAAGAAAATTTGATGGCAGTTGAATGAACTGTTTGCTTTTTTGCCTCATCTTCTGCTGGTGTCTAATCTAAAATCTATTCTGGTATAATGGTTGATGCGCCCACAATAACCACTCATCATGGATATATGGGTGTGCTCATTTCCTATTGACAGCAACTGACCTAATGTACTTATTTAATGTAAAGGGCAGATTCTACATTTTCTTATCTATGATATGTAACTCTAATTACAATTTTACTATATTGTCCATTTATGTTTGCACATGTTTCAATAAATTGTTGCACCTATTTCCCTTTTTTTCCCCCATTTTCCTAGCAACATATAATCATTCAGGAAAGGAAATCCCAGAACGCTGATTCTGTTGTTCTGGACATAGTTGGTTCTTTTCTTTTGCACAATACTGTCTAAGATCCAGAAACACTTCTTCTTTTCCAGGCCTCATATAAGGTGGACCGGTGCAAAACACAGAATTTAAAATAGTTTTCAGTTCCTGCACTAGTGACTGAAATCCAAATCTATGAAGGCACCATTAATGCTGAATCAAAATCTAGGTGTTGGAGCAACATATGAATCCAGCCATTGGATGCTTGGATGCCAATTTCAGCAGGACAATGTCACACAACATTCTGCACATATTCCAATAAATGGCGTGGTAGTAAAAAAAAATTCTTTGTACCAAACTGGCCTGTCTGAAGTCCAGAGTACAGATTGTTGGTAAGAAAATAAGACGTGATGCAACACAGTTGCAAAGAAGCTCCGAACTCAACTATTTTCAAAGGTGTTTCTGGCAACAAATTCAAAATGAGCACATTTATTTTAACAGGTTTGTTCCATCATCTGTCAGAATTAGTTTTGAAATTACTTTTTTTCCCCAATCAGTTTGAAAACATTTGATTTTTCTTCCCCTTTTTGTCAGATTGTTACATGTTTTTATCAAACCAGGTGAAAACTTTATTGCATTTACTGGAATCTGTGACATTTTTGGGAGCTCCGTTGCATTTTAAAGGAATCTTTAGGCTGCTGCTCACTCTGCTCGCTCTGCCAGAGGAGCAAAAATTACAGTTTATTGAAAAAGACATTGATAGGTAAGCTGCCCGCTTTTATCTCCATCCTTTTATCCTATCATGCCAGGAACCTAGCTCCAGATCTACAACTTGAAAATTCTTATGTCCCCAGGGTGCACTCAGGGCTTTGTGAAAGCACTTTCTTGTTTTATGCACTCTGGCCATGGGATGAGCTGCAAAATGCTATTTAAAAAACGGTCCTTTCTCTGGCAAGCTTCAAAGGTCTTTTCAGAACTGTCCCAGGGGAGTAATATTAGTGTTTGACAAAATCCCAGACTTGAGGTGGAATGTGTTGTGGGTAGCAGCGATGTGGACGGTCATCTTGTGATTCTTTTATGTGTATTTTTTTAACACGAAGATAAACTCCACAAGTTAGAACCGCCACAAAAAAGAGCTCTTGCGTCTCAGACCTGAGGATGAATCAGAAATAAAAGCAAATAAATCTGTCTTTAACCAGATACTTTTAATATGCAAAGATAAACATGACAACAACATGGTTGCTTAAGACAGGGAGCTATTATTGGCCTCCTGACTCACTCTGAGTCTTTTCCTGCTGTTTTATCCCTCTGTCCCCTCAGCTGCTTTCCTCACTGTCATTCTGGCAGCATCATTAACCCTGTACCACTCACACTCACACACACACACACACACACACACAGAGAGAGAGCCTCAGTTAACATTTGGCAAATTGAAAACATCAACACAGTACATGGATAAAATACCCAGTCAGGTAAGGCGCTCGGGTCATCGAAGCTGCCACCTCCTCTCTCACTTGTGGTGCTATAACACATTAAAATGAATATTAATTTAACTGCGAGATCACCCCCCAAGTAAGGAGTTCGAATGTGAGTGATCAGATAAGAGCTTCACCAGCACACAGCTCCTTTCACCAGCACAAAAAGAGCTTTTAAAAACCTTTCTCAGGGGCTTGAGAGCCATGTGCCTCTCATGACACTCACAGGATTTGTGAAACTGACACTGGTTTATTGTTATTGAATTAACTGCTCATAAAAGGTGATTTAAAAATAAAATGGCTCATTTAATATTGGCAGGGTGTTTTGGGGCCAGGTGAAGGAGAAAATTTCAGTTTCTCCACATTTTCTTTCTTTTTTTTTTTTTTACTGCAGAAACATTTATTCACCATTCACTGTGGCTGAGTGGGCTCCATTAAGATCATATCACTGTAAGAGATAAAATATCATTGCCGTATTTCCAGGCTGCGGCGCGTGAGGAACGTTTGCTTGAAAAGCAGGTTTTCTGATGAGCAGAACCGCTAACAAAACGCTCTGCAGCTTCACTCCAACACATCGCTTTGTCTGCCTCTGCAGAGACTCTCGAACTCAATCCATAAACGGGGAAAACCATCACTTCAAATAATGAAATCAACTTGGACCTTTGACTCCGCGCTGGTGTCAACATATGAGATCAACCAAAGCTTAGCCAGCAGCGCTTCTCTTCATTCCGGCGTTCAAAGCTTGCACAAAGATTATGTGGGAGGTAGCTGCTGTTGAGTGGTCAAGAGCATTTCCATGAGCACGTTTTTAATGAAAGTAAACGAGCTGCTGAACATCTGAATTACGCCGAAGAGGTGTAAACGCTTTATATGCGGCCGAGAAGAGGAGCCGATGCATCAGCAAAGTCAGGGAATCGTTTTAAGCCTTTAACAGTCATTGTCCTGTGATGAAAGCTTCAGAAAAGGAATTTCTTCTATTTAAAAACGGACAATAGATTTTTTTTAAAAAGCACAAAAAAAAGTCTTCCCACTCCTGTTAATGCACATGTTTTTGTTTTATAGGGTTTGATTTCAAGCTCTTGGAAATTTCTGCCACCACAGAGGTAGAAAGAAGATGAATGGAGTTTATTTATTTATTCATTTTAACCAAAAACCATAAAGAAACTATATATTTTATTTCCCACACTAACGTGAATAAAATGTCTTTTTTAGGCGCCAAACTTTCAGTTTATATTCTGTTTAATGCCCCTCTGATAGACCTTTGTTGGCCTACAGTAGTGGTCAGATTTGAAAGTGGGCACCAACAATGAGTTAGTTCTTTAAAATGAACAGCCTTACTCCTGCCAGTTTGCTCAAATCCTAAATTATTTAGGTTGTAATGTCTCCATACTGGAAACTCACTTGCATATAAATAAACTGTTTATGGCCTCAGAGAGCAGGCCATAAAGTAAGAGGCAATGGAGAGCCCCATCAGTCCAGTGTTTTTTCGCAAGTCTTGCTTGTTCACAGTAGGTTGACAGTGTTCCTGAAGTGATTTTTGATTAATTTATGAATAGAGTTAAAAGATGAAACAATATTCATCCAAAGTATGAATTGTTTCTTTCCAAGTCTGTTGAATTAAAAAAAAAATGGCATCGTTACATAAGAAAATCCTTTAATCCACCTTCCTTTCATTGTTTTGTTGTTGTTTCTTTATCTTGAACGCCTTCTTTTCTTTTCTTTTTCTTTCTTTTCCTTCTTTTTTTTTTTTTTAACTAAGCTCACTACTAGGCTTGTCTTTCTTCCATCTCGGCCATAATTTAAAACCTGGTTCAGGTGTAGGTCAGAAAAATCATTTTTAATGACCTGGAACTGACCTGGAATGTTTATCTCTGCAGTGATGCGTGGACAGAATAGCTGTGAGTCAACCCCTGCTTTATAGCCTTCTGTACTTGTGATTGGAGATAAGAAGTTTACCATAATACAGCTGCTGTGAAGGAAGGACCACAGATCCGTGGTTGGGCCTGACCTCATGCCTGCGGAATGTATTCTTAGCGATGAAAATATAAAACGGACAAGTGGAAAAACAAATTTTGTTTGTGGTTCGCCAGTGATGAAAACAGCGAAATCCCTGTAGTTCATGTCCTGCTGGACTTCCATATTTGGTTAATCGTGTTTCCATAACCGACAAGATTTTTTGGACCGATGATAGTTATGGACAGTTTGGGGAGTGACCATCTGCTTCTCCTGCTTAATAAAAGTTTGGTTTATTCGTCCATGCGCGTTAACTGGCGAAGACACCAAAAAGAGACTGACTGAAAATTTAAGGTTCAGGTGTTTGTTTGCTTCCACAACTTCACCGCTGGGATCGTTTGCCCGCTGAGCTGCCTGATTGGTCGTGAGGAGCAATGATGTCACCGCGCGCTTTGCTGTCCCGGCCGCTACGGCAGCCAACGCAGGCTGAGGACTTGAGAGGCGCTCCAGATGGAGTTGGCGCGCAGTGGGAGTAGAGCTATAGACTGTGAAGGCGTTGTTAGTGCTGCCTTGATGATCTCGACCTGGTTCCACTCACAGCCCAGCAGCCCGTCATGGGGGACGGTGGTGGCGCGTCCTCGCCAGTGAACTTCCAGAATGGCACAGGGAGCGAGGCGTCCGACTCACCGGGCTCCGCTGCAGCCGCCTCCGAGCAGTGGATGGCGGGCATGAGCGTGGTTATGGGTTTGATCGTCCTGTCCATCGTGTTCGGAAATATCCTGGTCATCGTGGCCATCGCCAGGACGCAGAGGCTGCAGACTCTCACCAACGTGTTCATCGTGTCGCTGGCGAGCGCGGACCTCATCATGGGGCTCCTGGTTGTGCCATTTGGCGCGGCGCTCGCGGTGCGCGGTTCGTGGCTGTATGGCACCTTTTTCTGTGAGTTCTGGATCTCGGTGGACGTTCTCTGCGTCACCGCCAGCATCGAGACCCTGTGCGTTATCGCCATAGACAGGTATGTGGCTATCACATCACCTTTCCGCTACCAAAGCTTGTTAACCAAAGCCCGGGCCAAAGCGGTGGTGTGTGTGGTGTGGGCGATCTCTGCGCTGGTCTCCTTCTTGCCCATCCTGATGCACTGGTCTCGGGACAGCGTGGACACAGACTGCTACGAGGACCCCGAATGTTGCGACTTTGTCACAAACAGAGCATACGCCATCTCCTCATCCATCATATCTTTTTACATTCCTCTCCTGGTCATGATATTTGTTTACGCCCGCGTGTACAGAGAGGCGAAAAAGCAGCTGAGGAAGATCGACAAGTGCGAGGGCAGGTTTCACAACACCTTAACCGGACTGACCTCCAAGTGCAAGAAGAGGCCGTCTAAGATCCTGGCACTCAGGGAGCAGAAAGCGCTCAAAACGCTTGGCATCATCATGGGAACGTTCACTCTGTGCTGGCTGCCCTTTTTCATAGTGAACGTCGTGAGGGTTTTTTGCGCAGAGGTGGTGGACAAGGACCTTTTCGTGTTTCTCAACTGGCTGGGGTACGTGAACTCTGCGTTTAACCCCATAATTTACTGCCGAAGCCCAGATTTCAGGAAGGCTTTTAAGAGGCTGCTGTGCTGCCCGAGGCAAGCCGACCGCAGGCTACACATTAGCTCCTGCGACCTGTCCCGATGCTCCGGCGGGTTCGTCACCTCTCTGGAGCCCGGAACGTTGGGGATGTGGTCAGACTGCGCCGGCTTGGACAACAGTGATAGTAGCCTGGGGACCGGAAAGTTGTCTCACTCCGAATCACAACTGTGAGAGGGGGGGATAATGACAAAATAGGCGAGTTTCTTTTTGGAGACGGAGTGCGTAAGAGACATATTTAATCATTTCAATGGGGACCTTTTCAACAACAAACAGGATCATTTGAATTCAAACAACAGGCGAAAATGCTAGAAACGTGTTTGAAAGCCATTTGTAAAGCATCAGGATAAATATTTTTCCCGATATCTCCCTTTGGCTCAGAGAGAGAGAGTTTAGTGTGAAAGAGAAAATCAAATTTGCCAAAATTATAGCTCATCAACCCTAAAATGAAGTGGCTGTAAAGCTTCTGTGATTAAAAACCTGTCAGGTGCCGAATTTGAAATCCAGTAAATCTGTGCATCAGCCAAAGAGCGGAGTCGCACTCCTGTGATTTATGCCTGATATAAATATAAACTTTTCAGTTCTGATTTTGTTCGATAAACAGTTGATTTCTGCATTTATGCGTTATAATGGGGAAGTGAGAGTCCGATCCTCGCTCCAGGTTCGTGCGTAAAAATTCGCTCATCACCGCTCAGGCGCACTACAATAAACTTTTATTTAAAGGCACTGGATAAGATCAAGGCATTTGTCGGAGTGACTGTATTGCAGTCATGTAGAGCTCACGAAGTATTTTACCTCACAGCCATCGGCAAGTGCAATTTGTACAACAGGTATTTGTTTATATTAAACATTGGTGTAAAATAGCCTATTTATTCCGCGCTGTCTTTTACAACTAAACGAGTAATTGTGAGGCTGATTCTAATGCCCGTTGTACATAATGTGCTGTTTAGTGCCCAAGAGGAATTTGAGCCTCTCCCTTTGTCTTTGGCTTTACATGCTGTTGTGAGGTGGTGTGTTATAATGTCTGTGAAAATAAAAGAAAGTTTTACTGTTTATTGCTGTTTAACCCATTTTTCGTCTTGTTATTATTATTATTATTACTGTGGGAAGGTTTGACTCCACAGGGAGCTGCAGAAATTCTGAAATGCTAGAGGAGAAGTGATTGAAATGTAATCACATTCTGCAACCTCGGTTCGTTCACAATGTACCAAGAGACTAATAAGAGCAGCATTTTGTGATTAAACAGCGTGGCAGCGAGAAGTAAACGGCGCTTTGCAGGATTTGTGAATTGGCGTGATGTCAGATGCTGTTGTGCTGCTGGGAAGAAGAGGAATCTGATTGGCCACCGTGGAGAAGGGAGCCACGAAATCCGACTCTTGAACAATGCTTCTTGTGCGCTTTAATGTTGCAGGGATAAATAGGGGTTTGTTTGCATGCTTCATTAAAGTCCACTCGTGGGTGTATCGATATTGTAAGCTCAGTTCACAGCTGTCAGAGGAAACAATTGCGCACGGGGGTGAGGTGAGCCCACTTTACGGCACACGCTCGGACTAACTGGAAAAGCACAGGTGTTAGTGTGGATAAAGGTGGCTCTGCTCTATTCAAGTTTCTAACTAATCCGTGACCCTGAGCTTGTATGCACAATAACAGGACCCTGAAACCAAAGCATCTAAATGGATTTCCCCTGTATTCATTTTATTATTTATACATTTACAAGTGTAACCTTTTAACCAGGGCCTTCTCTGCTGTGGGATACAAAGATGGCTCCAGTCTGTGAAAAAAAAAAAAACCCACTGTTTCTCCTAATCCACATCATATTCTAATCCAATTGCACTACTAAACATGCCAATTTGATGTTGGGAGTTTTATGCGTTTCTGCCCCTGCCATTTTGTGTCTTCACTTCATATGTGGTTTGCATACAAGCCTTTTTTTGTTTTAAAAACAAAAACAACAATGTGTGGGTGGGTGGGGGCCTGGAGGTTCATCAGAGATAGATTTTTAGAAAGGATGGTCAAAAAAAGCGATCCAACATATGCAGCTTAACTGGTAAAAACGCAGAGTATCAAAGCCAAGCTAAGAAAATAGTGATGACTGTAACAGCAAGGTTCCCTTTTTTTCAGACCTTGAAAAGCTACAGAAAAAGAGGCATTACACAGGCAGAGAAGCTCTCCCAGGATGGGCAAGCTGAGCTTTAATGGTAAAATTTATGTGGTGACACTTTAAAACATAAGTAAAAGTTGGAGCTACTACTACAAAAAAAAAATAACAATAGGGGGTATTTTATGTCTTGCTTTCATGTCCCCAAATGTTTTAAGCTCTCCACCCGCATCCACTCTCACTCAGGTTAACCACCTCTCCAGCATGCTGTTTGATGGATCCATTTTCCTCGAGCGATACTCTGAAAGCCTATAGAAAATATTTGAGTAAACACCACGGCAGCTGGTGTTCTGAAGTGGCTCTTACAGGAGAGATTTGCAGTTCTTTCTGGGGAATATTAATCAGCCCTTAAGCTGGACGTCTTTAAAATGCATTACCATGACGTGTTGTGCTAATGATGCTCTCTCAAAAAGCCAGAGCTGTACATTTCAATTAGGCCGGAAAAACTGAATGGAACTGAGCTCAGCTGTTCTGGCTAATGAACAATGTTTAGATATGATTGGGTGAACTAATGAGTGTGAATGAGACCCAGCTTTTAGAAAAACGAATAACAACATCAGTGCAGCCAGCGTCAGTGATGGCCTCCTGGCAAAGACCTGCTTCATTATTAAGCATTTGTTTGTTTGGCAGGAAGTTTGCGTTTGGGCAGATTAGCTGTGGGCTCACATATGGAGGAGCTAATCAGTGGTTTTAAGAGTAATTGTTTCAAATTGCATGTGTATCAGCAGACATTTTGGCTGCTCCAAGTCGAAGTAGATAAAGCGATACCAACATGACCTCTGTGCGAGCAGAGGTTATAACTCCATATGGTGTTTACATTCAGAAATATGTTCGCCAGTGATTTACCCTTGGTGTTTCACCCACATGTCTCTGTGGTATTTTACAGTCCAGGCTGGAGTGTAATATATTTAACTGTGATAGGCCAAGATCAGGGTTAAACACGGGGTTGTATTAGTAAACACTCCTAATTGAATTGTGCTTCATTACATCTTGTACATAATTTGTGGAATCTGAAACCATAAAGATAAATAATAAATAAATAAAGACTCATCTTTGCAGCAAATACATTGCAACAGTTAAAACCTCATATAAAATAAGGGTAAAAACCTT